TATTTCATATTCATATTGTATAACATCTTAACCATATAGTATCATTATTAATTTCTTTTTTTTTTTTTTAAATTTAGTAATCATATATATTCTGATATGAATTGTAAATCAATGCCCAATGTTTAGCTCCTGTCCACATTTTTAAAAAAGTTTTCCGATCACGACATGACACGATTACGAAATTCTTTGAGCTCGAGTTCTCAAATTTATGTGTATAAATAAAAGACTCACGAATCGCCACCGCAGTGCTCTTCTACCCGTGAATAAAAAAATAAATCATCAAACAAGGTGGTTCACTTTGCATACGTATAGGTGCATTTATATCGCAAACTGGTATACATCAATCGCTGTAGACGCGTACAACGGTGTATGCCTTCTGTTATGAGCCACCAGTCGTCTTGATGGCGTATTGACGATCTCGAGCAGATATATTTTAATATATATATATACCTATATGTAAACATTTTTTATACAGCTAGTGTTGCGCGTATGAAAAATATCCACTCACGCGTTAATCGACGTCCAATTCAACGTCATCCGCATGCGTACAGCGAGTGCGTATCCCGTGTGATATCCGCTGTAATTGAACTATACTCATACCTATGCACGCGCCGATGAAATAATGCTAAAATATAAAATCACCTTCCATATTTTACTTGATCCGCAGCACGTCTGTTATTTGGGTACCTAGTACTATTATATAACACCCGGCACGTATGAATACAGAGCGTGGGTGCGTACTGCGTATACAATACCGAATCGAAACATGCGCGATTATTAATTTATACCGACGCTCTTAAACATATCATAGAGTTTTCGACTTAACTTCAACTGGTGGGGTGGGAAGAGGATTGACTAATATTTGTTGAAATACCTTTGCGATTATAATGGTTATTTATAATTTTTTTCAAAAGTTCAATAATTAACGAGAAGCCGTCATGACGATCCGGTCATTGATACGGCGATTAAGATTATCCGTACGATATATTTTATGTATAATGTTATACAGCGTAGGTTAAGTCGTACACAGCAAGAGTTTATCGGGCCCCGAAACCAAAACACATACAATACGTTACAAACACATATGTTATATTTAATAATTTATATATATATACGCATGACGTGTAAGCAGGCACGGCCGAAACCCGTTCGCCGATGCAGCAGCCGGAGAGACACGGACGGGCAAAATTTTTTTTACGCGTACACAGAGTAGGTACCACATTTATAGTATACTTAGGTCGTATGGCCACGTGTAGGACGAATACAAATGTTACATTATGTAGGTACGTCTCGCCGTATATTTTATTGTACTTCCACGCGACTTGCGTTGAATAGTAGGTACGGATAATATAATACATGCACCTTTAGCCAGCACATACATATATGTGTGCAAACGCGCGCACATGATATACTCGTACTTATATATAACAGCGGATGACAGAATTGATTTGCTTGTCTTGGACGCAGGTGTGTACACCGCTAATGTCTCTTTTGCGAGATTGAAATACCCGCGGCGACGCAGTCTAGACATTACGGAGAGTAGGTATTATACGTCGATTGGTCTATAAACGAGTAAATAGCCCCTGTTGCACGTATAAGGGATTACAACCAAGTTATAACCAAATTTGGGTTCTTGCATACCTGATAAATAGACGTACAAAACGTGCAGCGTAATGGATTGTTAAACGTCGTCAGTGTAGTGTTATCGGGGTGAATCCCTGATGTCATGGCACGAGACATCGGTAATAATGAGCACGGATGCAGCAGCCACTGAATGTATATATATATATATAAGTGCGTATTATATCAGTAAATATACACGGGTGTGTGTGTATTTGTGAGTGAGTATGTGTACGCGCACGACGATTATATTACATCCTTGTAGAAAATTCCAGTATAGTTGTTTTTCGTTAATTACCAAAGAGGTCACAGAGTCGGATGGATCTGCCGCGCTGAGATCGAGCCGTGCATACGTAACTATATGCCGACCTGATACGTGTCCGCAATAATGTATTGACAGTTTCGTCCTCGGCATGTCAGTCGTGTGTCCGACACGGGCGGAAGGCAAGAAAAAAATGGAAAAAGAAACATTGTTTGAATCCCATATAATAATCAATTAGCCCGACGAAGTATATAACAATAAAATGTCGATAAAAACGATAAGAGGAAAAAAATTATAAACATTGTACAGTACATATATGTTATATAGTACGTATATTATGTATATAATGAGTACAAGATACGTGCTTTTTTTTGCGTTTATGTACTAAATGTATATAAACACTGAAAATAACGAACATATAATTTTGAAATTTACACGGTGACCAGTGACTATAGAACGTGAAGAACACGTGAAATAACCATTGTTAAAATTGTGACTTCCTCGTATCATTTCAAGAACTGAAGTGATTTTAATTCACGCAATATATTCATGCAAATGTTGTACAAAAATCGAACATTTAAAGTAATATAATTATGTCCAATTAACATTGTAACGTGTCTTAACTTTATATTAATACTCGGAAGAGGTGTCTAGTAAACATATACGTCATATTTTAAATTATATACTATAGTACTGATAATACAAAACAACTTTAAAATTTCAAAACATAAAACCATACCACAACAATTAACGTCTTGTTAATATACTATAATTACCATAATTTAATATATAATTAATAGTAATTATCCTATTCAATTATGCATGTGATTTTAAAACATCAACATAGTATAATAAGTTAAATATCCAAGGAAAACTGAAAGTATTCAGTCATAGGTATAACATGCTGTTACATTATATTTAAATAATGTCTTAGAAATCTGTTTGTTATAAAAATAAATTAAATATTGGAATAACAATATTATTAATTTTTTAGTATGTTATTTCAAGAACTCGTTATAACCTCATTTATTTTTAGCAGATCATTTTTATTTGAATGACGTATGTTGTGTTTAAGTTAATTATATTATATACTATAAAAGTATCGTCTTACATTGCTTTTTAACTGTTAAGTATTCATGAATAAGTCCCGTAAATGAATTACTTATAACAATCTTTATAACAATTTGTAGTTATTATTTTACTTTTTTTAAATTAATCTTACTAAAAGTCTAATTTGTATACTGTTGATAATATTGACATTATTTATTAAGTGAAGCTTTTAAGTTCTTTTAAATACCATTGTAATCATAAGTTGTTTCTTATTCAACATTTAATTTCTTCATATAACTAGATATAATTTTGTCAGTTATAAATAAAGTGAAGAAAATTAAAATAATTTCTTTTATTTAATTGCAAAAAAATTCAATTAGGTACACATAAATATATATATATATCAACGAGTATATAAGTATGTAATGATAGTAATGTTAACATTTTAGGATTTCAAATTTAATGATAAGTTTTCTAGTAAAAGAAGAAATTAAAAATAATTTAAATGTTAAATGGAGTAAACAAGCATCAAGATGCGTACTATAACTTAACTTAAAAATTGAATTGTAAACTTATAAATTTACGAAAAACTTGTCTAAATAAATGAAAAAACGAATATAAATTTATTTTTATTTAAATCGCAATAATAATATTATAAATATCAAAATCGATGTGTATGATAATATACCTATTAAAAAAATGTTGGTAATTTTTCATAGTTAATTTATAAACTATATCCTACTATATTATACCCAATAATTAGTCTTATTGGAGAATTTATAATAGTATAATATATAAATATATAAAAATTAAACAGCGAACATCGATGAAACTACAAGGAGTTACGTTGGGTACGTAGACGTATCCCCTTAAGATGAACGTAGATAAAAACGTTTTGAGTATTAGTATCAATAAATAGTATTTATTTACTTGTTTATCGCACAAGATAAACAGAAATTACTAAGTGAATAGATATAATATTTTTTTGTTTGCATAAAAAATATCATTTTGATAAATATAACTAAACGTGCACATAACAGTATAACGCAAATTAGAACGTTAATAAGCGTAGATATTTATTTTTTCTACAAAAATAGTTAATATAATAGATAAGAAAGCTGCAAAACCAATTACAACCATGTGGAAAATTACAAACGACTTTTGAGCAAGCGTAGACAGAGACGTATTTATAGTAGAGCAAGGTGGAGACAATCGCATCCCAGTAGATGGTACATTTTAATATTATTCAGATGAATAATTTCTATCTCTCTCTTTCTACCTCTCTCTCTTTCTTTATTTCCTTCTAATCTCTCTTTCATTCTTAGTATATAATATAAATAAATTAATGTATATTTTGATGAGACATAAAGACTTGAAAACTATTGAACTAATTTACATCAAGTTTTGCACGCATATTTTTAGAGACTTGGGGATTGTAAAGTGTTTATAGTTCCGTTTTAAACCCATATAGATTGGTATAGGGTGGCTCACATATGAATTTTGCTTATAGTTACGAAAAATTTATTTTTTAATTTATTTATAAGTCGGGTATCCATAGAATTAATATTGGTTAGTAGCTTATAGACTTAAAAATTATTTTGACAAAAATTTCAGAAATCTTTTCCAGAGATATCAGAAACATTTAGAGTATAGCTTAAACTACATTCAAAAATATACCGAGTGCCATATCTAATCCGACATAGATGAAATGCTCATATCAGTCGATTTACACCGAAATGACGTACACCGTCACAGCGATTTGACTACGAAATGAGCTACATCGAGATAATATACCGACATACCATCGTATATTTTATATTTTCCATTTTTTCCTGAGCAAAGTTATGTTATACAGTTGGTTATTATATGGAAAATGTATATCATTTAAGACAATTATATTACTATTGATACATATGGTTGTGAATCGAACTAATCATTAGAAATATTATCTTTACTATATTGAACAATGAATCATTTATATTCGATCATGTATAACTTCTTTCTGCATTATTATTTTCTACAACACTATACATACATAGACAATATAGTATTACGTCTAGAAACTTACTTGGCGAATGGTTCGCTGTCTAGTCGGTAATAGTTCTCGATGGGTTCCGTCTTGACCAGCCTCATTAGCTGCTTCTCGTCGACCACGACCACACCCTGTTCGACGTCCGCGTGCTTCCACAACACCGTCTGTTTATTACTGCTCTTGGACTTGTTGGCCTCCGCTTTGCGTTGCACTGCACCCTTTGCTGCGGCCCGGCCGCCCTTTTGGCCCGACGCGTTCATACGGCTACTTATCGCCCCGCTGCCCGCCGTCGGGTATATCAACATAGTTTGCGTATATGTGTGAACACCGATGCGGTACTCAGGATCGATTGGTTAAAATTTAATTTAATAAAAATTCGTAAAACGGCAGTGATAACGATTAAAATAATAAAAACTAACGGGTCTCGAAAACAACACCGCTAACTTGTGGGAAACGTCCTGGAGACCACAGACGCGTTTGTTTGTTTGTTTGACAGCGAAATGAAAATTCTCCGACGGGCCAGATAAAAAACAAATAAACCACGCGCGAACTCGAAATCGATATAATATTATGTTATAAATTACGCGTACTCCGACGAACGACTAAGAAAACGTCCGAATTCGACGAAGGGGCGGCTTATGAAATCACGATAAGAAACGACCGCGTAAACGTGATTCACCGAACTTTGTAATACCTACGATGATGACCGAAATAATCATGTAAACAATACTTGTAATGGTTTGTGATCACCAGAAACGGCATATCCTCGTCGAGAGACGTCGACTACAGTTGACCGCGTACGCAAACAAACTACCGCGGTTAAGTCCTGGTGGCGGTGATCGAGGTGATCTGTAGGAGCGCGAGCGCTGAGGCTGCGGCGGCCGCCGGCCGGACGACGTGTAGTGGGAGAACCGACCTGAATATACGGCGACGGAGACGTCAGTGCGGGAGCTTTGATGTAGACGTCGTCACCGCGGCAATAACTATGATAATAATTTGTGCCTTTACTATATTTATTTTTTATTTTAATATATTTATTGTCCGAGAAGGTTATTACTACTGATATCGGTACCAAAATAAAAAATATATCATAATAATAGCGACAACGACGATGATGAAGTTTTTAATAATATAACATTATATATATACATATATACATATATATATATATATATATATATATATATATATATATATAATATTGTATTCTTCTAACATATTGTGTATTTGGTCGGCCGCGTTTGGAATTTGTCCGTGGGCCGCAGTTAACGACAGACACTTGTACGCAAACACACACACATACATCATAATATGACCCATGGAACTATTTTACATCAAGGTATACGAGCGCATTTTCGACGGAGGTCGGTTTTCTGGATTTCCAATGACACGAAATATCTAACTGGTCTGTCATTGTGTCTTCATGATATTGTTTCATATAAATAGCCATAATAGACATAATATTTTCTGGTATTCTGCAAGTACCTACCATATTTTGTTGCATTCCGTATAATAATATTAGTAAATACTATAATTATGGTATCGCGGGAATTGAAGCGGAAAGACTATACGATAGTATGTGTTAAAGTCGAACCGAACTCGTATAGAAAAGCTTTTCGATATTACCGTTTTACATGCATATAAATGTTGACATTTTTATGGTTTGCCATTACTTTTAGATATTTGTAAATATACCGAAATCGACTCATATATGACCAATGACTTTGAAGACAAAGTAATTCGGATAAATTAGTCCTATATTTTCGTATACTGTTCATACTACTAAATATTTTACGATGAACATATATTTGGACGTAACAAAAAACTATCGAAACGATTATTGTGTACAGTATCTTAATGTTTGAAGTCAAATAGCGACATATATTATCATTACTAAAAAGTAAAGTCATGCATCAAACGAATATTCATTACAAACAACAATAATATATTTTAATTAAATACCGACGAAGTTATCCTACTGAGAAGCTTCTTCGTTCTGGAAAAATGTCTATTCTCCCCTCATCACATTCACTGGTCGTTAAATTTATTTGAACAGATTGGGTGATAAAAAAAAAATGTTAGATGAAAAAAAAAATGATATACCAAAATGTAACTTCATCAGTTAAATATTTGTATGCACGATTGATTAAGTGTATTTATAAAATCGCAAACAAGAAACATTTTTGTTTTAATTTTAGAGTTTTAAGACGGTAACAATTATTTCGAAGTTAAATAAGTTTTGATTGTTTTCAAAGACTTATTTAGTTGTGGGTTATTTAGATGACATGTTATTTAGGTACAGTTTTAAATACGATGACGGTTACATAATTTAAAAACTAGTCGAAAAATATTCGTTCTTTGTTATTTCGATAAAAATATTATTAATCATGCTATATCTAAATTCAATCCTAATATTAAAATAGTGTATGATTTAATCTGATGTATATTACGCTTTTAGATTAGTTTTATTAAATATTTACACACATTATGATTATTGTTATAATATTAGTAGGTATTATAATTTAATGTTTGGTAAAATGTTATCATTGCAGTAATATTAATTTCAAACATTATTTTTTATATTTACAATTTAACCTAGTTATCATGTTATTTTATATATTATATGGACACAATAAAATTGAATAATATTTAAGTAAATAGTTCAATTCAAAATATAGAACGTAACAGACGGATTAGTTTACGTGAGAGGAATAGTTTGCAGATAGGACAGAAGATAATCTCAATAATATAAAAGATTGTATAAAACAATATTATTTTATATACCAGGTCAACCACGATAAAAATGGGACGTAAATAATAATATCATGTGTAAGTAATTTTGAATAGTGAATTTACAACAAAATCACATTACATTTCGATAGAACGGTGTTTGTAGAAACCATGAATGGAAATTAATATGGTTGCGGCCAGTTGTATTCCACGGCTGTACCACGGGTGCACCCACATGTACAAGCATGGTCAGTTGGCGCACTTTCAATATCTCGGGGTCATTGGTTGATTAATACATGTATCTTGTGCGTGATATAGAATACAACTATAGCAGAATACTTGTTGGCGGCACCCCGTTGTTTCTAGAATAAACAATATCACAATGAAGTCATTGCAGGTCTAGAGGCGCTACCAAATAATTGAATTGTCCTTTTATGCGATTGTTATCGGAGTTTTAATTTGGCCGAACACAATCGAAGTAATACGAATGAGAAGAAAAAAAGTATCGTACTTGCTCCTCAACATTAATGTATAATTAATTAGACGTACGCGTTATTCATGTTTTGTACATAGGACATACAGACAAGTATAATATACATAGTTTATAAGTCTAACATATAATTAATAATTTATGCTTTCATGTCGGCAAACATAGACAATGACCAGTGACTTTTTTAAAAAAAATAAATAACATTTTACAGAGATTAACTTTGGTGAAAACAATACAAGGTTCATGATCCCTAATCCTTACGTACGTTATACACGTGTACGTGTACTTATTATCTTTCATTCCTGAACTAAAATTTAATAAATCAATATGCTTAATACATCCATGTATTATTTTACAATAAATATATATGAATTTTTGCAAAATGTAAATACACAAAATGTTTGCTGCAAATACCGGTTAATTGACCGGATAATTTATTTAATTAAGTAAAGAGTGTCGCCACCGCTTGTTAGTAACCGTGATATAGTAGCGGTGACGTAGACGAATGACGGGGTAATATTATTGTAGACGTTTAACAAGTATTAAAGCGAGACGTGGTACCCTCCTTAAGACACTGTAGATATTTGCGTGTTAATACCAATTGATATTATCGCATCCGAAAAATTCAACGTCTGTTTTTTCCAAAACGATACGTTCAAACGTATTATTATAAAGGTAGTGTCTTCTAATTATCAGTGTTATATAATAATGCATAAGGTTTTTTCCATTTTATTTGACTTTGTCGCAAACGATTTATAGGTATGCGAGTAAATACAAAAATGACGACAGCTCTAATCACGACGGCGATATAATAGTAATGAAAAAAAAAAAAACGATAATCAGTCTAATTGATCTCGGATAAATCACGAAATACGAGTACAATATCGTATATTATGTACGATTCGTATCAAAATTCAAAAAAATGTTGAAATAAATTTTTATGCTGCCACCACAACAGTCGTATCTTCTTGGTGTCGGTTGTCAAAACAACGTCGTTGCGTCGTCGTTGTTGTCGTAGGACGTTATTATTATATTACTGCAGCAGGTATACACCAAAGCTGTGTCGCCGTTAATATAATTATATTATGATATGTATAAATATATATATATATATTATAATACGCCTATAATCGCACGTATACTACAACAATATAATATTATGTATAATGATAACTCACATCGTCTATAAACAAGCGCCCACCCGAAAAGTTTATCCGGAAATATAATACATAAAGTATTATAATATCGCGATAGCGCCACCTTGCACGCGTCGGGTGGGCGAGTCGAAATCAAACGCACTCTGTAATAGGTATACTGCTGCTGCGGTTATTTAGACATTTTAATTTCGTCTCGATTTTGCTCAGCAGACTGGTTAAATTATGACGAGGTTCGTGTGGACCGAACATTCGGCCTACGACGCGCGTCTCAAACCGGCGAACTACGCATGTACATATTCCAGTATGTATATATTACTACGTTTATAATATACCCGCAGGATAAGTCCGGTGAAAAAGTTAAGCAACCGAGAAAACAAATTGATGACGGCCGTGATGCCAACTGCCGCTTTAGTAATGATATCTGTAATATGATACATAATGTCTTGCGTTACAGATTGGTACGCAACAAATGATATTTGATTTTGAATAGACATATCCTTATAGTGTATTATATATATATATTATATTCGCTGTTAAACCTACTCACTAGGAAATACGATTTTTTAATCATAAGAAAATTCGAACGCGCTGTACGCGTGAACACTCTCAAATACGGAAATTCATATATAGTGATAAATGATTATTACACACATTTTATTATTATTATTATTATTATTGTTAAACAGTTAGGCGTGCAATGGATGTTAAATATTTTTATCTCGAAATCAATCTTATGAGTTCTTAATAATGATTTTATACCTTGTCTGGCTGGCTCGTTTACTATTTTTTCGTATGTTTACAAGTGTTATTCGTTAAAGTCTCTCAAAGATTTATGTAAACTTATATTCAGAATATTACGCCATTATTTAACTTTTACGATAAACATTATGGGTTACCACCCATAAAAATATATTAGTTTTTATTGAACGAGTTTATAGAAGGTACTTACTTTATTGTACCTAGCTTAAAAAAAAAAGTGAAAAACTCTATAGAAAGTTTTAAGAATTAAGGTATTGCAGGTGTTAGTTTCATCATAATCATGATGTTTTTATATTATACCCGTAAATTAAAAATACAAAGGATGGTTTTATATATTTATTGACGCCACTTAGTCATGATTCCGATTATGTCTTAAACGAAGGTTTAGACTTTATTTGTTGGTTGTCTGAAATTGTACATTAAATAGGCTATAAAAAACGAAAATCTCGTAAGTAATAAGTAAAAAAATATTATTTTAATGTATGTAATGTGTATATTTATATTCATATTTCATTATATATCTATATGATTTTATATATAAATATGAAGTCAAGATCGTATTTAGTATTAGTATATAATGTAATATATATATATTATTTACCATATATATTATATACTATATGGTATAAAATGCTTATATAGAGTATTAAAATAATATAATTTAAACCTATTACAGGTATAGTT